GTGTGTGTGTGTGTGTGTGTGTGTGTGTGTGTGTGTGTGTGTGTGTTTATCTTGTGGTTTTGAGTTAGAAGGCGTGAGGCGGATGTGAGCCATCTACCTGCAGCTGCTGCACAGCGAGCGGTTTGGAGATTCAGGTCACACAACTTCACACTTTCCTGCAAAGCAGCAGCGTCGACTCGCAGACTGCAGCTCAGGATGATTGAAAATGTTCTGTCAGAACAGCTCAGGTCCTTCAGAGATGAGCTGCAGGAGAATGTCCAGGTTTTACCATCACTTAAAGCCTCCTGAAGGCAGGGGCTTTCTGGCTTCAGTCACTTCAATCAGTCAGTSTGAACGTTTGTCCATGTGGATTTGATTGTTGTATAATAATCAGTTTTCTGATGTGTGTAGATTGACAAATGTGTAAAGTAAGTTATTTTAAAAGATACTTTAGTTTTCACACATATACAACCTTTGCCCTGAACGACTCATTCGTTCAAGATCGATATTTTCTTACACCCCTAATGGTTATAGAGTCTAACAGCTGATGGGAGAAAGGATCTGCGGTAACGCTCCTTTGTCCATTTAGCATACAGCAGTCTGTCACTGATGGAGCTCTGCAGATCAGTCACAGTTCCATGCATGGGTCGATGGGGCATCCCAGCACAGAGCTTTATGTTTTAATAGTATTATTAAAACATAATAATGTTTTAATATTTGATTAAAATGTAGTATTATAGAATATAATCTAGTATAGTTAGAATACCTTTAATCAAAATGGAACGAGACTTGAACTTGAGGTCAAGAGACTTGAGACTTGACTTGGACTTGCAAAAAAAGACTTGCACACATCTGTGGAATGGAACGGCACAAGCTATTAAAACACTAATTTCTCAAAAGAAAGTGACGAAAAATAGAAAATCCCAATTTAAAAGGAGGATAACTAAATTTAGATCGAAACTAAAAACAAAAATGTTGGCAGATTTACGTGTTTTTATATAAAATTTAAAAAATTAGAAACTGTCATGATTTAAAACTGATAGAAATAGTTTCTGTGACAGTCTGTCTTTATTTTTGTCCTCATGTTGAGTAAACCTCAAACTTCCTCTCAACTGTTCGATCGGCTGATTGAAGAAATGTTAAAGCAGATGAGTTCCTGTGGATTAATCAGTTTTAGACTGAACCAAAGAAAGGTTTATTTTTGTCTTATTTACTCACAGATTATTGGTTTATAAAGAAGTCAATTATATATTTTATGTGTTTTGAGCCTATAAGTACGTAAGTCATGATTTTACTAAATAATTAGTTTTTGTTTTTCAGTGAGGTTATGTTTGTTAACAGGCGTTAGAGAGGAGCTGTTCTGTGTTTCTGTCAGGTGAATAAATCAGACACAATCTAATCTGATGAATTATTTACAGAATCTGTTTAAAGCAGGATGTTGGGCTGAGGAAAGTTRACTTATTACCAGTTTCTATGAGCTGCATGTTACAGCCTGATTTAACATTTTATATTATTTACCAGTAAAACTCATTCAGCAGGATTACAGGATTACAGTCACGTTGTGGGGTTTTATTTGTGGGGTTGATTTGCAACTTTCAGTTTACGTTTTGGAAATTTTAGGCTTTTAAAAATTCAGTATTTTGTTCAGGAACTGACTGTGTTACAGCATCACCCTTCATTCTGTCTTAATTCAATGATTTAACATTTATTTGATCTTTTACATGTAATATAATATCACTGCAACTGTGCTAATAAAATGAAACTCAGTCTGAAGAGTCTCAAAATGTTTAAATCATATATATTATTTCTTGTCAAATTTGCTGCTTATTATTAATCTAATATGATTTCAGTTTGAACAGATTATTGTGAGGCTGGTTTATAAAGAAATGGTGAACCCTGGAGCAGTGTCAGTGTGTGGCCAGCAGGGGGCGCTGTGCTGAGCTGTCATTCTGCAGCTGCAAGGGATTAATTCTTTCATTTCAAACGGAAGTTCGTTATTTGCTTTTTGGAGAAAAGGCGGTTCTGTTCTTTTTTTTTTTTTTTTTCACTCAGCATCAGAACCTCACACTTCACTCCAGTCGTCGCCTCATCCACGCTGAGGACTTGTCTCCTCTGTAGACCTGGACCCTGTTGGACCTGAAGGGACAGACTCTCTCAGCTCTCAGGATTATGCTGCTGTGRTCACAGACAGAAGGGACAAGCTGCCAGGCTAAACTTCAGACCTGCTGAGCTTCACACAGGAAGACAGGTGAGCTGAGAAAAGATCAAAACCTGAACAAAAAACAAACAAAAAAAAAGCTCATTTAGTCCACATGAGTCAGTTTTTAAGTCACTTGACTTCTCTTCCTCTTTCTCTTTCTGCATGTTTCTCACTTCTCTGTCCTTTATCTGAAATCTTACAAGTGTTTACGACTTGTTTAGTTTTCGGTTCATTTTAAAAGCGAAGTAATTTTATAGAAACTTTTGTCTTTCTTTAAATGTTGAAACTGATGTTTCTGGAATGAATTCACACTGATGGTTAAAAAGCTGCACTGCAGTCAGGAGATAATCTGTAAATATTCTGTAAAACAGCAGGTCAAACTTAAAT